GAGGGAGCAGCAGCAGCAGCAGCAGCTGTCGCTGCTGCGGGCTGTGCTGCGCTGCTGTGTGGGGCAGCAGCTGCGGTGTCTCCTTTGCAGCGGCTGCTGGCTGGAGGGACATCTTCTGTCTCTTCGCATGTCCAGAGTCAGCAGCAGCAGCAGCAGCAGCAGCAGCAGCAAGGGGAGGGGGCGGCGGAAGGAGGCGCTGCTGCTGCTGCGGTTTGGGCCCCTGGTGCTGCAGCGGAGCAGCAGCAGCAACAGCAGCAGCAACAGCAGCAGCAACAGCAGCAGCAGCAACAGCAGCAGCAGCACGAGCGGCAGCAGAGTAAGCAAAGTTGTGTCCTTCTCTGTGGCCTGTCTCCGCGTCTCTGCCGTCTGTCTCCTCTTCCCCAGCAGCTGCAGCAGCAGCAGCAGCAGCAGCAGGGACATAACCTTAAGGGCCACGCGCGCAGCAGCAAATGCAATAAAGAATTCTGTTTTCGACACAGCAGCAGCACTTGGCTCCAACCCAAGGGCCCCCAAGGGCATCTCAGAGGGGCCCCCCACTTAAATGGGGGCCCCCTACTTATATGGGGGCCCCCTACTTATATGGGGCCCCCCTGCCTATATGGGGGCCCCCTACCTACATAGGGGGGCCCCGTCCAACAGTGTGAGGCCCCAAACCTACATAGGGGAGTCCGGGGGGCCCCCAAACATAACTGGGGGCCCCCAAACCTAAGTAAGGGGGCCCCCAACCTACAAATGAGGGCCCCCAGCCTGTGAGGATACTCTCGCGTCCCCTAGAAGGGTTCTAGAAGGGGCCCCTACAGGGGCCTCTGGGGGCCCCCTTGGGGGCCCTCCCTTGTGGGGGGGCCCTCTTAGGGGGCCCCCCTATACCCCGGGTACCTGTTTAAAGGGGCCCCCGTCGGGTTGGGGGCCCCTGTGGGCCCCAAAGGCGGTACCCTAGGGGCCCCCATGAGGCCCCTAAAGGGCCCCCAGGGGCCTCTCTGGGGGCCCCTAGGGGGGACCCCAGCAAGCTCTAGAGGCCCAGGGGGGCCCCCAGGGGCCCCCCGAGGCCCAGGGGATCTATTAGAGATCTCCTTTCCGTGTTGCTGTTGCAATACACTGGAAGAAACAGTTTCAATGAGTTTTCCAGCAGCAGCTGCTGCTGCAGCTGCTGCAGCAGCTGCTGCTACATCTGTTGGCTTTAAGCTTATGTTCGTTGGCTAGTTTAGTGCTTTTGGCGCGTCGCTGCTGCTGCTGCTACGGTTGCTGCTGCTGCTGCTACGATTGCTGCTGCTGCTGCCGTTGCTGCTACTTTTGCTGCTGCTGCTGCCGTTGCTGCTGCTGCTGCTGTCCATCTACCTGCTGTGGGTTCTGCATTCCTCCGTAGTGGAGGGCGTCGGAACCTAAAACCCTAAATTAGAGTTTTCCGGCCGCACCCTAGGGTTTGAAGCTCTAAATTAGGGTTTGGGTCAAGACTAGGGCCCCGTGCTCCCTGGAAGCAGGCGGCAGTTGCCAGGGTTTAGGGTCTACGGTTTAGGGTTTACTGAGTGTCACTGATTTGGACTAATACAAACCTCCAAAAGCCATAAAATGTGACAGAATGTAAAGGATAAAGGATAATTATTAATTGAAATTCATTTTGTAATGAGAAAGAAAGGAAAGAGATGAAAGAAATGAGAGAAATGAAAAGGGCCCCCAAGAGAGGCAGCAGCCGGCAGCCCCGAGGCGGGGCATTTGGGGTGTATGTACAGTCGATCTGGTGGCGAGAAGAGGGAAAAGTATTTCTTTTGTTCATTTATTTGTTTAATTTGATTAAAGTGAGCGAAATAACTCCATTTTTGGGGTCTGAGAAGGCGCGTTGTTCCCGGGTGTACGTACACCTCAGCTGCCGCTGCATGCACGCGGGCCGGCGAGAACCCGAGGCTTATGACCCCTCATTTTCTTTCTTTTTTCGTTTTCTTTTCGTTTGTTTCCTTTATTTTTGCGAATTAAAGAAATGGCAAAAGTTGCTTCCGTCGGAATTCCCGTCAAACTGCTCCACGAGGGGCTCGGCCACACCATCACTGTGGAAACCAAGACCGGTACGTACACCCGAGCCTCTCCCTCTTGTCGAATTTCCCTTTCCACGTTTTCTTCTTTCCGCCTTTTCTCCTTGCCTTTCGCCCCCCAGATCCCCGCCGCCCGCTCCTAGGGTTTAGGGTTTAGGGTTTAGGGTTTGTGGGCAGGCTCGCTGTACCGAGGCACTCTCGAAAATGCAGAAGACAATATGAACATGCTCATCCAGGGAGTGACGGTGACCCACAAGGACGGGAAGGTCCTCTCCCTGGAGCAGGTCTACATCCGCGGCAGCCAAGTAGGGTTTAGGGTTTAGGGTTTAGGGTTTAGGGTTTGGGGTTTCCCGGGCGCCTAGTGTCTCCAGCCTTCACAGCTGTTGCCTTCCACTCCAGCCGAGGGTTGATCCCGCCGCACAGCAGCTAGCCTTCCTCGCAGCGCCTGCACCGAGGGTTTAGGGTTTAGGGTTTAGGGTTTAGGGTTTCCCTCCGCTCGCTGGCGCGCTGCGTGCGAAGCTCTCGCGCAGCAGCAAGGCCGTCTGCGGCTCCCCCTCCTGGGCTCCCTCCCGCGCCCGGCGCAGGGCTTAGGGCTCGGGGCTTAGGGTTTAGGGTTTAGGGTTTAGGGTTTGCAGGTGCAAATGGTTATCTTCCCCGACATGCTGCGCCACGCCCCCATGTTCAAACTCGCAGACCGCGGCAAAGGCCGCCGCCCCCTCGGGCTCGTTGGAATGCGCCGCGCGATGAACATGCGCAACGCCCGCGGCCGCGGGGGCCGCGGCCGCGGGCGCGGCTTCT